AGGGTTTACCACCTGGCTCAAAGATCATGCTAAGGGGAAGCAGGAGTTACGACGTCATTAAAAGTTGCAGAATGCAATTTCAGGCGCAGCTACTTGGCACAGTCTTTATTGCTGTGCATTTCAGTTAGACCAACGTTACACCCATCCCGGAAATCAATTTCATCCCGTCGGAGTGAAGGCAATGTATGGCCCATTTCCGTGTTCGCGTGAGCTGAGATGGTCCACCTTCACCCCAGCCACTCAGGAGACGGAGACTCTTTGTCCCCAACATGCGAGAAGGCTGCCTTTGTGCAGTCCCCGTGGAGGGAACGGAAAGCATTTGTTGACTGTGTCCACATCAATGGCAACTATTGTTCTCCTGGAAGGTCCGATCGGGGAGATGTCAGCGTGGAGCTTCACAGCTTCTTTTGATGATGCTGGGAATAGGCGCCCTGCCCTATTCAGAGATGTCAACACAAATGTTTCAGCTACAACACTCCCCTTCCCTAACACACACACCCTGCTTCTCTCCAGCTATCTAGATAGTTCACAAATTGAACTGTAGACCACACAGTGGAGACAAGGGAATTTCAGAAGTTTGGATGCCTTCAAACTTCTGAAAAATCCAATAATAAATCTCTTTTTCACCTAGCGCAGGGGTCACCAACTTTTCAGACCTCAGGGACCACTAAATTCATAATTTTATATCCCGCGGACCACTAATATGATCTGCCTAATGACTGGGTGGGTGGGTGTGGCTAGGTGGTCATGTGACTGGGTGGGTGTGGCCAATTCGATGCCTCTCACATTGAGGGGCGCCTTGCCAGCTTCTACTCACCACTCCTCGCCTGCCTGCCTTGGCTCCTTAGGGCCCCAACAGGAAGCAGTTGCTGGAGCTAAGCAACCACTGCGAGAAAGAGGTGGCAAAACAGCTGGCTCAGTTCAAATTGGATCTGACTGAGAAGGAGGCTCAGCAGGAGAACCTCACTGAGGAGGACTACGAGCATAGACTTTCCAAGCTCTCCTCCCTGAGTAATTCACGCATATTCTTGAACCTCTCTTCCTTAGAGGAGCTAAAACATTAGAGGAGAGTGGTGGTGAATTACAGACTGAGAACTTGGCACGCTGAAGAAGACCTGTGGGTTTCTTGAGTCTGGAAGAGAGCTAACAGATTGGCTCTGCTGGGCTTGCATTCTCCCTCTCCAGAATTAAGATTAAAATCCTGGCCTGGAGAATCTTTCCTCACTCTGCCTTAGGATTTGGCTGTTTTAGCAACAGAATTAAAAGGCTGCCTGTAATCCCATTTAATTTACTTTTTTTAAAATCAAAGTTGCTGCTCTACACCCATTTGGCTACCACAAAGAAGAGGGATAGCAAAAACCCCAGCAGCCCTCTTAGCTGACCCTGGCACCACAGAGCTTCCTCTTCTTCCTCCTCCTCCTTCCAGAAAACCCTACTCCCTTCTAGCATGTTATTGTTGTTGTTGAGTACCAAGGACCTCACTACTACTACTACTACTGCTACTACTACACTCTTCTTCTTCTCCTCCTCCTTTTCTTGTCTTCTTCTTCCTCCTCCTCTTCCTCTTTCCTGCAAACCCTACTCCCTTCTAGCATGTTACTGTTGTTGTTAAGCACCAAGGACCTCACTACTACTATTACTACTACTACTACACTTTCTTCTTCTTCTTCTTCTTCTTCTTCTTCTTCTTCTTCTTCTTCTTCTTCTTCTTCTTCTTCTTC